TACTCCTTACCGAAGCGAGCGACTTCACAAATTAACTGTCATAGCAGAGAGGAGGTCATCGGGTACTCTAAGGTGCGGTTCTACTAACCTGGTTTCGTGGGGATATCACTTTAGGCGAACGCTCCATGCAAAGTTAGACATTTTGTAATTTTTTGGAAGGATGGCTCCACTGTTTTTGGTGGAAAATCTGCCTCCACCGACAGCAAAAACGGACCCAGGCATGATGGAGTGTCGTGCTCGTAGATCTTGTCGAAACCACAAAAAATTCGTTCTAAAACATTAACCGCTAAAACGACTACAGGTCGTGGTCAGAAGACATCTCACTACCGTTCACCGTAAAAATTGCCTGGTTACCAATTTTCAAGTTTAAATCGCTGTCATCTAGGGTATTTTGTTTCTGAACCCACTGCGACCGGAGAGGCCTCTTCTGCCGACAGATTAACAAGAAAATACGTGGACCACAGTTAAACAGACAAAAAATTAACAGCTAACTAGTTCTATGTGGCTTCATGAGTCTACTGATGCTGTAAGCCTTCTTCTCGCTGCCGTGGGTTCGAATCCCAATAAGACGACGAGTTTTTCACAGTTGGGTCGATATGCATTATTCAAAGTCTGCCGAAACATCTAGGAATTACGTGGGACTGGTAGTCATATGGTAAATGCTAGGTGGATTAGTTAGAAAATCCTGCTTGGACAGTCAAATTGTTCTACCACGCATAACCCTTGTAGATATCGTTCCCGTAAGACGCGGTCTATCGGACATCATTTTTTTTACCCCGCGCATATGCTTAATCCTTGTCCAACGAGTGAACAGCAAGGAGGACGCCTTTTAAAAATTGTTTATAGAAGACAAAAATGAGTGTAATTCGTCAGTTTTGATGGATAAAAATGTCACTAATTGGAAGAAAAATATTCATGTGGAGCAAAACCACCCCGCAGGTGAGAGCACGAAGGGTTCGAAGCGTTTCTCGTTAAGAGATAATTCTCAAATCTGATGGGACTACTCGCTGTAGATGCGTTCACATTATGTCCCGATGAATGCAGGAACGAACTTCAAAATGAGAAGGCAAAAGGGATCGATCGCAGTCGTCTACAGTCCACCCAAATTCGAAGTGGAGGAGGGGGCATTAAAAGGCCACGATCTTGAGATCGGTAGCACCTACGAAACTGGAACACAGGTCAGTGAGTGCATGCAGATCAGGTTTGAGGATATCGGTGACATGATATACAATCTCCTCCTCCGGCGGTGCAGACGGTGTTTCCGAAGAATCGGAAAACCATCAACAGATATCTCCAAAGTCTTGAAAGACTTGTTACTTCACGTTTCTTTGATACCAACCGCAGCGGGTTTTCAGACGTTACCTGCTTCCTGAGCTCTGAAGCACTGAAATGGTTAGTTGAAAACTAGAAAAAAGTGAGATTGATAATGGCAGTTAGAATATGAATCTAAGAGGCCCTAAGTACAACTCATGTGGAGTTTGATTTAAGCTCCTTTCCTGCGTTGTAAGCAGACTGAAAACATCTGCATTGCTTTATTGTGATTTCCACTTTATTTTTTTCTGCCACATAAAATGTTATGGAAAGGATAAGCATCCAAAATTTACCTGATTTTCCTTCAAAAAGAGCTCTAAGCTAGACAGGTTTCGGTTTGAAAAACATTCGCGATCTAAAATAAACGGTTAATAGCGAGTATTTCTGCGGTCATCCCAGCCAAACTGGTCTGTAGAATGTTTCTGAGAGAGAGCCCTAGGGTACAACGAGACGAGTAACTTCCTTAGGAACGATCGGCGAGCACCCCTCTACCACTGTACATTCCCAATCGCAACTGACAGTATAACGAGCCCGTGGTTCAATGATTAAGGGCGTTGAACTTCTAACCAACAGGCCACGGGATCGAGCCCCGCGACAGTGTAATTGTCGTCGTGATGAATCGTTGCTATAAGTCCTGTATTGACGACATTCTAAAATCCCATTCATTCCTGATTTTTCTCTTAAATTTTCTAACTTATCTTTTGGAAATGCACATTCTCTGTTGGAAAGGGGTTGTTATGCAATTCTGGAAGCGCCGTCATCCTCGTTCAGCTGACTAAGATGCTCAACGTCCGCCGTTGTTGTAAAGACTCTAGTCTCGTCGCGCTTCTGTAAATGACTTCTTTGAGCATATTACAGATTTGAGGAAAGAGACATGATTCGGACTTGATAGACGACAAAACTTTCAAGTTCCGAAGCATTTACCGGGCAACACAGCATGAACAAGTGTTCCAGTCAAGTGTTGCCAGTCAAGACTTTCCTCCGGAAAATATTTACTATTCAGTCGAAGTTGAACGATCTGCATTTGCTCACAGGGGTAGTATGAACGTCTGTAAAGCAAAGCCTCGACTTGACAACTTAAGCGACTGTCGATCTGAGCGACTGCATTTTGGCGTGGAAAATAGGCATATTATGGATAGTTTCCACACTTCAAACTAAAAAAGCCTTCAAACCCACAACATTCTTACTACAAAACCATGCAAGTACCATTATGACTGCTAAATAAAACAAGTTGTTATTTGTAAATTATCCAAAAAAAACACACAAATCACGCCCTAGAGCATCGGTGGAACTTCCGCTCATCATGGCTTACGGTTAAACGAATTCTGCGAACAGCTTCGTCAATCGCAGGCCGCTTGCCATAACTTAATAATTGTGACCTCGTTTAAGCGGCAATTTTTCTCTATGAGTGGGAGTCAAACTTTTGGCTTCCATAATTCGCACCGAGCAACTTGCTGCCAAACTACAGTCAATGTGTTTCGTAACGCTCTCAATTTTCCTGTGTGGGAGATTGACTGATTCCTAAATTATGAGGTGGAAAGGAAAGTGTTAAAAACTGATTTTTCAGACTGTAACAAGTTTCTAACACAAAATTATTAAGAGTGAAAAAATAGTCGATTTGGACACCCTTCTGTCCAGTAACTTTTCAGATTTCGACTAGGAGTTATTTGAACTTGGTTGCAAACTGGACACTTACATACCAAAGGAACAATTTGTGTTTTCCAGCTCACTAGGTAGGGTCACAGAAGGTCTCACAGTTACTTTTGGCAACCGATATTTTTTTTGCCAAACCCTTCCATCTGGCAATATTTTCTTATAAAGAGCATTTATTGCCAAGACGATCTTTAAGTACTTAAATTACCACCCACTCAATCTATACAAACCGGGATTCCAAAGCGTACTGCAATGGTTTTCGCTCCTGTGCCTCCTTTTTCACACGCATTCCAATCTTTTAGAATTCATCTAGCGCTTCTAACAATTTTCTTGCATGCCTCCTTATGTACTGCTCCTGATCTTTGTTTTAATCTTTCTTAGTGTGTCGTAACTTAGTTTGGGACTTGTTTCGTCGGCTCACTTATGGGCAGTCTTTCTGGACCCTTGCCAATCTCCACAGACTTGCTAAGTGCTGTTCTTTTCAGCTCGCGCCTGATCCGGGCCCGAATGATGAATAATCGGTGTTAGTACCTCCATGCACACATGGAGTCGGGCTCATTCAAGTATTTTTAGCCTACATATCTTTTCTCAATCAATTTCTGGGTACATTTGAGCTGTAGTTTTGAGCAATATCGCGGACCAAGACGAACTACTGTATTGAAATAAAACTGAGCAGGAATTATCATGCGCGTCATTTGAAACCCGCCATGAGAGCGTGAAAAAACAATGAGAAACACTCGTATGGAGACTCTGGGTATGGAAGAAAAGCATGTGTACCTGATCACAAACACACTACTTAACTTTTGACTGGTACTAAAATCAGCCTTTCCCCCAAATGAGACCCGGTGGATTAAGACCACCTGACACTGCGTCAACGGAAGTATGGAGGTTCGTAATAGACATTGCCTGTCTATAGACCCAATTTCCAAAACTCAGCCTCCGCGGTGGGATTTGAACCTACGACAGTAAGGACAAGGCTTGAGTACAGTCAACGCTCTAGTCGTCTGAGCAACGAGGTCCCACCGGGAGCTGTAAGTTCAATCACATTTGGGTCTAATCAGCTGCTCAGCCTCCTATGGTGTCCACCAATTCTGATGACAGTCCGATCATCGATTTCGACGATGTCCACCGTGTGCTCCACAGCAGTAAGCTGGCTGCCTATTGGAATTTCCCAAGTAACCAATCTAGAATCAAGTAAACGACTAATCAACTCTCTTAATTAATGGGTATTTTGGCAGACTTTGAGTTTGTCGAAACTGGATAGAGGTGAATCATCAAAAATCCGCCGAATGACCTATTAAGATTCTGCTGCTCGTGGCCAAACGCGAAAGAGGCTCAAGCGTGTAGAACTTTTCAGCGATCAAAAGACCCTGGTCGTTTTCTAGCTACAAAGATTGTGCGTGCTCATCTCATCATCCAAACTGTTAACCTCATGTCCTTAGACAAACGCCGGAGACCATTTGTTCACAGGGAGTTACATTTTATAATGCACCCAATCCCACTCGATTCCATTTTGTTAATTAGCCAACATCGACTTGTACAGGGGAATCATCCATTTGATCAGTAGCACGATGACAGAATGCCGAAGAGAAATGCCCCTGTTTTTAAAAGTGAACCATAAGCCAGATGCCAGCTGACGTGCTTCGAAAGAAACATTCTATCCGCTGTTACGTCGCAAACTGACCCACTAATTCCAATTTATTCCAGTGTTTTTTAAAATTTCCACCAGTTTATCCTTCATGCTCGACGTTAGAAAGAAAACTGAACTTAAGGAATAAATAGATCAGAGGGAATAGAGGTGGCTTTTTCGTGTTTCCCTCAAGATAATACGAATCAAGCAATTGAATCGGTGATTTTCCCAGGAGGTCTCTTATTTCGTAACGGTGGTGAAAAAACCCAGTTTTAATGGGGAATAGATAAGTACGTGAAAATGTATTTCCACAGACATCAAAAAGTGCAGCGAGTATGTGATGACAACACTTTGTGAAAGAAGTGGTATGCTCCTCTGGGAAACTGAGGTTCTCTTTTGACAGAGTCTATTGTTCAGCGACCTCCTGAACAGCAATCAGAAAGTCTCCTCCTTCTGAAAACCAAAAAAGAAGGCCTGAAATGCCTGGCAAGTTAATTCCAAGAGTTGAATCAAAAAAGCAGAGGAGGGAGCTCAAGAGCCTTTTAGGCATTCATACTCTACAGAGGCCTTAAAAGTGGCAACAGACAAAAGTTTTCAACGCGTATTTTTTGAGAACCAGCCGGTCGGATGCGTTTGATGTTTATTAGGTCCGGTCTTGTCTTGCGACAATACTGAGTAAATATGACGGGCTTTGGAGCAGCTAATCAAAATTTTCTTCAAGAAGCCGTATAATATATCCTGCTACAGCAACTTTCGAAACAGCATTTACGCGTTTTGAGTCGAAGTACGCAAATGTCTAGGGGAAAAAGGATTTCGGAGACTTTTAGGGACGGTTCAAGTCACTTGGCTTTTACCAGCCAACTGCACCAATTCTACAACCAGACACTTGGAACTCGATTATGCTTTCTGTTAAAACAGTCGGTTTATTAGGAGCCCCGATTATGACTCCCATAATTCTCCATTAATCTCCAATGCTGTCACACTGTGCTGTATGTGAGCTCATCATGGTACTTCCCTGGTTTTAATTTCATTGTTGGGTCCTTTTTGGTAGCCAAATAGGGCAGAGATATAATAATCTGCACTCATCCTTTTCTCGATTATTTGCAAATTATTTGCAATCCCGACCACGGCATATCTGCTTTTGTACCCCAAATCTGTACAATTTCAATAAGCTCTAATTTTAGTCAAGTCATAAAATCCACTGATATAGGCCACAGGTAGGCTATTAAACGGCCAAATTGTGAAATATTTCAGCTAACTGGGCAAGTAAAATTTTCGGTAGTGTAGCCATCATTCTAGTCAAAGTTTGTCCATCAGAAGCGGGCCACAGCCTTAAACCCTCCTTCCTCTTTCCGTGCATAGGTTAGTTAACGAAGACCTGAAGGGACAGTTGGCATCGAAACCTATCGGTCCTCTTATGCCCTGCATGCTGGCAGCAAACGTACCCCTTTTTATCTCCGCACAACCAACAACCACACGCGCGCAGCACTGGCAATCGTTTTCAGGAAAACCAGCTTTAAAAGGAGTCCGAAGGTTCAGATGAACATGTGAGGGACACATGGTTGAATGCGCAAAAACAGCCTCACATTCTCGCCCCCCCCCCCTTTTTTTCTGACATCTTCTACTAGGATTTCCAGACGGCTGTTGACAGTGGCTAACCTAACAGCCACTCCAATCAACGCGGACCACGACACTCCGGTGGGCTTTATGTGGGAAGCAAATTGGTCATTTAGTGAAGATTCAGGTTCAGGCGTGGCGTCACGACAGCAAATGTTTTGCCGTCTGAGAAACAAAATTCCGCAAAAGCACACAATACTGTCAGTTACCTGGTGCAAGTATTATCTCTGTGTTTTTGCCTCGTAAACGAAGAAATTGTAGGTCGTCAGTTGGATCCAGGCTGCGTACCACATCCTTTGACTTGGAAACCAAGGGCTTAAGGGCAGAACAGTGCACCTGAGTTGCACCTGGGTTTATAGTGGTGCGAATAGGAATGCCTAAACAAAAAGGAGACCCAGCAATTAAAAACCGCAACATTTATTTAGGTCTGATTTTCTCTGGGACAGACGCGATGATTTATTCTGCAAGAAGGGGTATCATCAAAGACCAGGGAGGCTAGAACGATCATTTCTGACCTACGAAATGTCGGTAATTAGCTCTGACAAACTAAAAGCTGAATGCAGTCTAGGATTCGAACCCGGGCTCTCTGATCTCAAAAGGCTTTCAAAGTCCGCGATCATATTCTTATCATTTGTGATCGGGAATATTACTCCTCGTGAGATTTAATGTCCAATTTAAAGTACACCTGCAGACTAGACCCCTGATTCAGACTCATTTCCAAATAAGATATTTTCAAAAGGCTTTGATTTTATTTTTGAAAATTTATTTCCCACACGTTTAAAATATCGAATTTCCGGGACTTTTTCTGAAGCGGTTTAAGGTTTGTGCAAAATTAATATGCTCACAGTGCGAAAAGAAAGGGGCATTTTTTACATATTACCTGACAACCTGTCGCATTGGAGCCGAAATTGTCTACTTACTCAAAAATTGGAGTGCACAGACCATTGAATATTAAAGGGCAACAAAGATTTTGCAGTCAAATTGCAAAACTTGTTCGCTTTAGGTCAAGATCAATGAGGTCAAGATATCTTTTGGAATTTTGACTTTTTCGGTTCATTTTAGTAGCCTGATCTGACATATAAGTCGTCGTCAGACAGCCGTGCCCGACTGCGGAGTGTGAAACACCTGGGGCTCGATCCCACGACCTGCTGGTTGGAACTCCAATGCATCTAACCGCCGAGCCGCGGTCTTGTTGTCCTGCCGACTGCGATCGGGAATATACATTACATATTGTGCACTTTACCTTTATTATCTCCGCCAGACTGAATCCAGACCGTGGGATATGTGCTGGACGTCACTGCCTTGGCCGTACAGGCCACACGCTAGACACGACGAATGTTGTGACCTTACTTACAAACACTTGGTGACGCTGATGTGTCCCTAACACGGCCACATATTTGCATTCGGCATTGCACAGGCACAATATGTCGAGTGTACCAGCCAAGAAGCTTGACAGATGTCACGACGACGAACAGGATTCAGCTGCCCTCGAATATACGTCAAACAAACACGTTTGTGTTTCTTTCCGGCACGTATCTTCGTCTCCAAAACATACACCTACATGTACTTATTAAATATTGCAACGAAGTCACTCATTGAGAGCAATTTCGTCAGTGACACAAAAGCATTGGTTGGTCGCTTTTCCGAAAAAGCGATGTAAATACCTAGTAATCGAAAACCATGTGGTGAACAGGCTTTATATTTCTTATAAAGTTGGAGAACGGCAGTTTTGGCGATTCTTTAAATACCAAAATTTGGGCATTTTCACAATGTTCGAAGTTAGAAGATTTGGTAATTCCTTATTCATAATATACTTTTTCTTCGGATAATGTTACCTTGAAGATAATTTTATTCAGCAGAAACAACAATTCAAAATATACAAAGCTTACAAATTGTACACACAAATCGTTCAAACTTATGTGTACTGCCATTTATTTCTTGTCAAGTTATTAAGACATTCTTACTAATGCATCTTGTAAACAAAATTCTTGGTAATTTGTACACATCAAAGTCTTTCCTTTACGCATGCGTACTATAAAGCCTTGCTTATTTATTGCTATGCGGACAAATAGCAAAGATTTATAAATAGGTTGACAACACCCACCATGCTCGCCCCAACCCACACCTCGTCGCCTAGCGCGCCCACCACCGAACCTGATACTGACACTGCCGACTCTTCGTGTCCACACTGTCCCCGTACATTTACCTCGCGCATCGGTTTGGTCGGTCACTTGCGAATTCACCGCACAGAGAGCCAGGCTGTCACAGTCCCCTCCTAAGCAATCTATGACACTCATGCATGTGAGAAGAGTGTGTGTGCTTTATGGGAGGTGTCTCTCAGTCGACGACTGAAGGATGACGGCACAGGCTACATGCGGGACTAGGTGCCGCTCTTCTAGGTCGAAAGGTCTGAGAGCATTTGTTATGTCAGTGTCAGCGAACAGTGGCTCTCGCAGTCTGGTATGCGATCGCAGTTGCCTGGCACCTGGTATATGCGCTTGCGTTCCTCGTCTTAGTGATCCCTCCTAGGGTGTTGTTGTTGGTCAGAAAGCTTGGTCATTTGTCGTGTGGACCAAGGGGTGTGGAGTGGAACGCCAGGGTGCGGGTTCGATCGCACCATCTGCCCCCTGTATCCAGTCTTCTGGACTCTGTCCTGACATCGGGTGCAGGTGAGGAGTGCGGGGGAAACAGGGCAGTAGATGCGGCAAATGTCTATTATCCCTATTAACTAATTCACGCGCAAGTCGCCATGTCTGCTGCATCCTGGTGTGTAGCATCCGGTGGATATCGTTGGTAAAGACGGTCAAACTGTCAATACGTTGGTAAATTTTGGCCAAAGCTTTTCATTACTGGCAAAATACTACAGTCTCATCTATACAGAAACCATTTATTATCCAACTCATTGAAACAAGGTTTGCAGATTTAAGGGGCGCGAATGAAGTTAGATGTCAAGAGTATGTCGTAAAAATACCATATAAAAATGTTTGGGAAAAAGTCCGTAGAAGATCGGTAGTTTTTGAAAAAACCTGTGTTTCCTTCAACAGATAACACCAACTTGCTCGAATTCAAACACAATAATTAAAATTAGTAAGCGTATCTATATAGAAAGCTTCACGAATACAACATTATGCGCCTGGGTTTCTATCAAATGATTTAATTATCTCGTGTGAGCCGTTATTTTAAAATAAGGTAGGTCGTAAAATCCTCAAGGAGCGGCGTTTGTTACTGACGATGTCACCATAGACAGCTTTTTGAATAGAACAACTAATATGAGAAAGGTTTATTATCAATTAATGGCTTCTCGTTTCAATCAACGCGTGGTTTTGTATTTGTCCACAAATTTAAAATAGTGTTGTTATCTTCGTTTACCTCTTTGCGACAGTAAAAAGGCATATTAGAGAACTGTGGTCTTTTTGTCATCCAAAGGATTTTGTGTGCAGCTTAGTCAAAGGAGAGGTTTTGCAAACCGGACATGATTATGCACGTTGTCTTCTCGATCAACAAAGTATGGCTGCAAATAATAATACAGAAAATCAGGATCGTAGTCAATTAATGACTGTTTGAAATACCGCAACTGCAATCCGTCGCCTGTCGGTTTTTGTGTTTATAATAACGGTTTCATGACTGAGTATAACTTCTAAATGGTGTGGTTTTGAGTCTGTTTCATCCTGTCATTTTTTCTTAAACTAGATTTTTCAAAGCAACTAACAAACTGTCAGAGAATATTATAACTGAGGTGAATATAAATGTAAGTTACCTTCAGCGGTAGAAGCCACGAGAGCAAGCACGCCTCTGTGCGCTTGCAAGCGTACAAATATTTTCTCGGTTTCGGTCTGCGTGAAAATACATAGAGCAATGTTTGTATAATTTTTACGTTCTTGGGGTAGTAGATGAACTATTTTTCAACTTTATAAATAATACTGAAGACATTTTCAAAAGTGTGAGCCCGTGTTGCATTGCCATCCTGAGAAAATCTACAAGGATCGCTAACTTAAACAGCTAGGGTTAACCTGCAACAACTATCTTCTTGAGAAGGAAAACTTAAGCGTATGCAATGGTAAAGAAACCATTAGAAACTTGTAGTCATAGAAATCATATTTATGATACAGTATTTCTATCTATGATTACAGGTCCTTTAAATGCAAGGTGAATATTTGTAGCTCTCCGATTTATATAAAACATGCACAGATACAATAAACTGTCTATATTTGGTTGTGTTCGGAGAAACGTTAGACAAATGATTAAATGTATCCGTCAGAAACGAATGGCAAATAGTCGAAAAATAAAGATTAACGTTGGCGATATGGCATCGAAAAGCTGTTAGATAGCCACGAAAGCTCTAAGCAAGGAACAAGACAAATAATTTTGTCCCCGTCATCATGCAGACATACTACTTTAATCAACAGTTATGCTGCAAAGCAAGAAATTTATCGCTTTACCTGACTTAAGCCAGGTAACGTACCTTACCTGCGCGCTGTTACCGTAAAGTACCAAACAATGTCGTGTGGTAATTGCGCGCATCAGCCTCAAGGTTCTTCTGAACCCACCGATGTGTAAGCACGTTTTGAAATTGTGGAAAGTTATTACTCTGATGTACTTTGCATTGCACAATTATTAGCTGGTTAGCCAGCTGGTTCTTAAGCCAACAAACCTCGGGTAACGCAACCTATGTATTTTCGTCGAAAGAAGTCCAAAATTTTGATTGCAAAAACTTTTATAGCTTTGTAAGAAGAGCAGTCTTGTATCAAAATGACCGTCTTTTCGGCTTTTGTATAGGAAATATTAATAATTTCTTGGTTCCGAGGATGTTGCACCTATTGAATAGTGCACGCAACTGCAGACAAGCCATCAATATATCGCATGCCAAACCACCACTCCTTCAATATCTCTTAAGTTAGCTTTTTGTGTAATAGGGTGTGCGATTTCTAATTATTTTAATTTAAAAGGAAAATCCTCCCGATATTAAAGTGGACATGGTCCTGCCGACATTTAGGAAATGAGACACAGCTAGACTTCATGCTGCTTTTAAAAATAAAAACAGACTTTTTCTGAGATCATTAATATTATGAAAATTAAATTATAATTAAGAAGTGGAATATTTCAATTTGCCGATTACCGCGGCGTCGGTATCCATGACTTGTCTGACGCGCTGACAGCTGCAGTAACCTTGAGCGCACTTCAAGGTTGAGCGAATTTATCACTGTCTCATTCGGTCAAATGCCAGTGCTGGCCTTGGGCATAAGACGTGACGTATTCAAAAATCCTTACCCTTAGTAGGTTTGTAGTTTTTAAGCCTTTATCGGAATGAGTTCAGTTAAAAGCTTGAAACAGGACGGCAAAATAGCAACTCAAATAGGAAAATTAACAGAGAGCGTTAATTGTGGAAAAATGCTACGTCGCAGGGCAGATCTTACATTTAAGCAATTAAAAGTCAGACGAGCAAGTTTAGTTTTAACGTACCGGAAAATTAGAGTCAATTTACTGCAAATAGCAACGTAGAATCGGAAACTAATTTTGAGCTACCTCAGAAGAAGAACGAGAAAGGGACAACAAATGTTCCCGAAAATGACTGTCGATGTTGTTGAAATCGCAGAGAAGGGGGACAATGCCGTTTGTCTTTTAGTTCTACGCAACATGGTTTAGTGTCCGATCGCCCTAGTAAGACATGTCATATGTCGTTACTCAATCTACCTCGTAATGGTCATCGGTCTGTGGTCGTTATTTTGACCTTTTTAAAACCTCTAATAAAGTCCCACAAAGAAAACTCCTTGTTAAATTGGTTGCGTTTGGACTTTGCAGTCTCTTTATTAAGTCATACCTATCTAATCGAAAACAGTCTACCGACAACCGGGAATGATTATACAGTTGACGCTCGTTTGTTTGACTTCCTAGGGACATTTGTTATTCGGTCCAACGTCTTTATCATGGGCGACCTCAATGGACCTTTAAGTTACTGGGGTTAATTTTACCCGTTCTGTCTAGACCATACTTTCGATTGACGTTTCCTGGACATGACGCTCTCATTCAGCACGTTTCGTTCCCGATGGGGGTTTGTGAAGGGCAACAGTACAACTGTCTGTATCTGGTGATCGCGAAGTCGCTTTACAGAGTTCATGAGGTGCAAAGTCCACCTCCCTTAGGTCGAAGCGACCACGTCGTACTTTTCTGGAGGTAGTCCATCTTTTCTCTTCCCGAATATGTCCCCAGAGTTAGAATGAATATTTGCACGGCGACCTCATCAAAGGAAAACTGAACTATGGACCATAAACTGGGAATAAGCTTTTTTCTGTGACATAGTCAAGGAGCAGGAGTGGTTTGGTGAGTTTTTGCACATTCTTCTCAGAGACCACTGTCCTATTTCATGGAAGAGACTGAACAACAGACCTCGTAGCTACTACAACCTTCAAAAAGAAGCACAGGAACTCTTTGTCAACATGTGTGTACAATGCACTGAGGAACCTAGTTAAGCGACTAACCCTCAGGATACGTCAAGTTTTCGAGAAAGACACTCTGGACCGGCCGCTGAAAATCCGAAGTCATTTAACGGTTGCGTACGAAGGAGCACGCGAAAAAGAAGCTCATTCCTTTATTGAGAGCTAGTGAGCACCTAGAGCACAGTGAAGATGGAGGAAAAGCAGGGCACCTTGCACAATTTTTAAGTTTCTCTTCACGAAGGAATGTGCATTTATTACTGCCGACTGTGACTTATTGGAATACTCAATGACTAAGACCGTTTCTTTTGCCGAAGCTGTTGTTCACGAAGAAACGTTGATGCTGAATTAGTTAGAGTCGCCTGGGCCGGATGACAAATCGCCAAAATTCTTGAAGGAGCACGCTGAAGAACTGTCCAAACCGCCATCTATGCTTTCCTGAGCCTTGTTCGATGCAGGCTACTTGCCAGCCGACAGGAAATCAGCACGGATTATATCACTGCACAAAGGCGGTAGCGAATTGTCATCAAACATCTACAAACAAATCAACCTAACACCGGTCTGCTACAAAATTTTGGAAAAAATAATTGAGCGAATAATAGGGCTTTTCCTAGGATGGCATAATCTGCTATTCAACGACCAGGACGGATTCCGTAGGGCAGCGTATGCGTGGCAAACCTGCTCTGTGTTTAGAACGCTAGACCATGGCAGTCGATGGCGGGGATGCAGTGCAAGCAGTCAATGTCAACTTTAAGAAAGCATTCGATAGAGTACCATCTCAGCGCCTCCAGTAAAAATTAAGTCGAACAGGCATTAGAGGTGATAATCTCACGCGGTGGATTCAAAGATGCCTGACTTGTCGCTCTCAAAATGTCCACGTCGGTGACGGGCAGTCGGCGGAGGCAGCGGTTGAAGCGGTGTTCCTCGAGACTCCGTCTTTGGCCCAACCTCGTTCATTATATAGTCAACGAATGCAATACTGAAGTGAATTGTGATGCCGCCATCTACGCTGACGATGTTAAGCTTTGGAGCGTCATCCGAACTGAATTTGACACACAGCACTTGCAGATAAACCTGGAACGGCCACAGAAATTGTTGAAGTACTGGTTTTTGCCGTTTAATATATACAATAGGTTTATTATAGCATCTTCAGTCTCCTATGAACATAAAAAACCTAAATAAAACTCCTCTATTTCGGCTGCATTTTGACTTAATTGGCTTTGGGTGTGTGCTCTGTCGGTAGAGCGGGAACTGACAGTTTGTTTCGAATTGAAATCCTGATTTCCGAGGCAAAACAATAGCAAAGTTAGGAAAAGAAAAAACGAACGATATGGAGATTGAAGTGTAGAGTTTCGTAGGATATGGACTCATCGTCAGCCAGTCAGTCAGTCAGTGTATTTGAGGGAAATAGGCTTACGCCTTTGAACTCCCTATTTGTACATAAAAAATCGATAAACAAGCAAAAATGTGAAGAAATTATAGCATTAAGTGAATGCATACATTGATTCACATATGTCACTAGTCACATGGTTAAAAGGTCACATAGTCCGCTTGTTGCTGCAGCATATATCTGTCAAGGCGACATTTAAATGTCTCCACAGATTGAGACATAACAACCGTCTCGGGCAGGTTATTCCACGGTTCCACGACACGGTTGGAGAAGAAATATTTTCTCACATTCAGTCTACCCTGTGGCACACGTAGCTTGAAGGGCTGTCCCCGGAGGTGAGTTGTAGTGGCGAGTTGGAAAAAGTCATCGCACCAAAGGGCACAATCCAAGCCGCGCACGATACGGAAAGTTTGTATCATGTCTCCGCGCAACCGCCTATAACTCAGAGGATAGAGATTAAGGTTAGTTAAGCGGATCTCGTATGGCAGTGCACTTTGACCTCTTACTAATTTTGTGGCTCGCCTCTGCACCCTTTCGAGCAGATCGTAATCCTGGTGCGTCCACGGTCTCCAGGCCTGAATTGCATATTCGAGATGGGGCCTTATAAACGTGCGGAAGACTTTGGTGAAGCAGTCTTTATCGAAAACTACGAATGCCCGCTTGATGGCATATAGCATTGAGGTTGCGGCCTTGGCCACCTTACAGCATTGTGTAGAAGGCTTTAGGCTGTGCAACCCAAACTTCCTGTAACTTGAAGAATTTTGACATCGATAAAATTTTCGGTATCCCTTAAGTGCCCAAGCGATGCTATAATAAACCTGTTTTATTCTGTTTTATTTAACATCAGGCTTGCTGCATTTTTATACAGGAGAATCGAAATTGGGTAGTGGAGTCTGTTGCTGGCCAGCTATAGCCATGCAGAGAGAGAAGTTACTCTTTGAAAATTAAGCAGTTCAATTGCCCTTTGAACACACTCACTGTACGAAAAGTCAACAATCATTTTGAAAGTGAGCTCTATGGTCGAGCGGAAGGGAACTTTCGTTCGTCTACGTATCAGCGAGGATCTCTTGCAAGCCTTCCGCATTGTTAAGGGGTTGGATTGCAGTCTGGCCTTCGAGGACTTTTTTGAATTTGCAACCACGACCAACCTCCGAGGACACCCGTTAAAACTGCGCACTCAGCAGGCAAGGCCGGATGTGCGGAAGTTCTTCTTCTCTGTTGGAGTGGTCAAACCATGGAATGCCCTCCCCGCAGATGTTGTGATGTCACCATCTATACAAAGTTTTAAAAAGAATCTCGACATATTTATGTTCCGAAATGACCAAGAGCGATGAGAAGTAGAACTCACCCCGGTAACTCGTTCTCTTTTTGTCCTACCATTATGGGTGTGTTTGAACTCTTTCAGCCCAGAACATTTATCTGTATACCACACATTTTTCAGTTGCATATAGGGTACTCAAAGGCTTACGCCTATTTCCCTCAATAATTATGTTCAGGCAAACGGTCACGTCCGTAGAAAAAGAGGAATATCCGAGGCAAGTTTCGTCATAGTTGTTTATAATAAAAGAGGAAGACCGTTTCCCGTGAGGACATTCCTGTCTCTATAATCTGCTAACTTTCCTGGAGGTCTGGACAAGGGCCTTAGACGAGGGCTTCGAGGTCGATTTCGTGTACATCTAATTTCACAAAGTATTCGATACTGTCCCTCCTCAACGCCGTCTTCATAAATTGTTTGTACTCCGCATCGGGGAGATCTTCTTAGCGGAATCAGTGCGCTTCTGGTTGGTCTAAAACGTCGTGTCTGTATCGCAGATGATATGTCAGACTGCGTGGACGTGATTAGTTATGTGCCAGAAGACTCAGTATTCAACCTTCAAGAACTTGACTGCGACAAAATAATGTTTACCGACGGTGTGTAGCTTCGAAAGATATTAAGTGTCCAAATGACTAAGAGGGCCCTTCAGGAAAATCTACACCGACTGCAAACGTGGTTCGAGAGATGGCTTCTAGATTCTAATGTGCAGAAGTGTGTCGTTCCTCATCTACGTCCAAATAACTGTCATTCCAATGATAGCACGAAGGCGTATCACCTGAAAGGCATAACTATTCCCACAGAATCTTCATGGAACGATCTCGCTGTTTGAGTACAGAGCAACATGAAACTAACATTTCAGGACAATAAGGCTGCAAAAAAACGCCATGTGACTGCTCCATGATATCTAAAGGGCGTTCGTAACCCTCGAAAACTTTGCGTTTGATCAGCCACTGCATTTACGTTTAGCTATTCCGATTTGCAGGTTGTGTATTTTCCAT